TATGGATTAAGCCTGGCTCCAGCAGAAATCAGAAAGGACTTTTTGAGATGATTGGATCAGACCATGTCTAAACCCCTGTAATCCCTCTATCCCCCATGGAATCCTATTAGAAGAAAAATTAACTCTTTGGAAACTACAGCAAAAATTGGTGCAACTCCCCAATTAACATAGGTTGTCCCCTTCATTAACATGTCCAGCCCCAGATGCCTTTAAATTGTGTTCTCGTGTTCAGGAAAGGATTCCAGTTTCCCCAGACTGGGATCGTGTCGAGATTTTATTTTTCAGACCCCACTGAGGACAGCAGCTGCTGCAGCAGTTGGAGTCCTGACTGCAGGCGAACCCGTCCCCAGCAGCAGCATCAGAGCCCAAATGCATCCAGCAGATCAAGAAGTGACCGTGAGAGGAGGAGGAGGCCCCCGAAGTGAGGGAGCCAGGTGAGAGCCAAGTGCCCCTCCCGCAGCCTGGCAGAGGGGCTGTCAGGGCTGCCAGCGAGGGGCCAGGAGCGGTGGCACGGGGAGGCAGGAGCTGTCCAGCCATCCCAGGGCTGGGACCCTCCTTTCCTCAGCCAGCGGGGCCCAGCTCTGGCAGGGGACACCCGCTGGGACACCCGTGCCCACAATGTCCCGTCCTCCCCAAGGCCTCCAGCCCTGCCCTTCAGCCAGCCAGGCAAGAACAGAACAGCCCTTGGGGTGGATCCCGCAGGGATGCTGCCCCGGCCCCGCAGAGCTTCCATTGTCTCTCTCCCCTCCAGCATTGCCTGCTCTGGCAGGGAGCAGAGCCTGACCCAGACATCTGCGGAGAAAAACTCCAGAGAAATGGGCTCTGTGCCCACGAGTTCTGCCTGGGGAGTTGCTTCATGGGCTCCCTCTACTTTATTCCAGGCAGTCCCTGCCACTCTCTCCTCATCAGTGAGGGTCATTTTTTCTACAGTTTTTTGCCAGCCACCTTCCTCAGCACAATGAGGATCAAGTAGGACTCTTTGGCTTTCTCCCAAGGGATATCCTACATGCAGTCAACTGGGCGATACAGAAGGTGAGAGCCTGACAAGAGCAGGGAGATTTGGGCCAGGCGAGGTGGGAAATGGCACAGGGGTGTAATAAATTAGCAGTAGTAGTTTAATTTACTCATCAAATTAGTGGTAGTTTACTCATTAAGTTGTATTGCATGTTATATTCTGTTCTTATATATACATATATATTATTATAATCAATGTTCTGTTAAATTTAGGAGACTGTAAGTTGTAGAATGGTTCATTAATCTGTCAACATTGTAAGCTGATAGTCATGCAGCTTGTAGTCCTTGAGCTGGACAGACAAACTATTGTGCCTTGCTGAATAAGTATTTTAGTATTTTATTTTTCTAAAAGCTTGTTGTCTCCTAGCACACGCATAAGGTAACGAAGAGAAGGACAAAGATCAAAGGATCCACCACGAGAACCATCCAGAGTATCCAAGGTGGACATCTGGAGATACCTACACACGAGGCCTCAAGGACTAAGAGCTAATTAAAACTATGGAATGGAAAGCACCTGGCAACTGAAACGAGCCTGCAGGGAAGCCAACCAGAACCAAACCTGCAAACTCAAATCCAATAGAAGAATAACAAGTGATTATGGGAGCGGAACTAATGAAGGAATAAAAGTTGCTGCTTTTGCTTACTGTTTTCGCGTGCCGTGTGTGGAGCAGGAGTCTCCCCGGCCGCCCAGCGCGCTGTTTTGCTTATCTGCTTTTTATATAAATCTTCAATAAATTTTTTATTATTATATTTCAACCTAGTTTCATTTACATATAACAGCCGTGACAAGAAGTGCCTGTCAGAACTGCAAAGATGGACAAACAAGAATCTTCCGGGGGGATCTTCTCTGCTCTGCCCTGCACACCTTTGTGCTGGGCTCAAAACTCAGCCTCTCTGCTTCCCTCTCCTAAGGGACTTGTTCTTAGACATCCCTTTCCCCTCCGCTCATTTCCAAAGCCCTCCTGGCAATTCCCAAGCCTGGACCCGGCTCTCATCCCCTCTCCGGCTCCGAGCCCTCAGCTTCTCTTGCAGAGAGCTGGGCCTGTCACCCCCCCTGCCCAAAGCACGGCCCTTCGGCTGCCTCGCAGCTTCCTGCAGTCGCACCAGGCCCTGCCCAAGGCCCTCCCATCAGGGGCTGGGCCCTGGGGGCCGGGGGAGAACCCACCCGCGCCTTGGCCATTCTTGCCCAGCCCTGCTCTGGCCCAGCCTCCTCCCCCCTGCACACTCCCCACTGCCACAGCCTGCGCTGGGGCAGCATTTCCTTCTTGGGCCCTTTCCAGCTGCCCCCATGGGGACACTTCCATTTGCTGGGCCAGGCACCAGAGCCAAGCCCAGCCAGTCCTGCCCCTCGGCCCCAGCCCGGCTCCCTGACTCCTGCTGGCCCCTGCAAGCCAAGAGCCAAAGGCCCACAGCCCCAGAGTGCAGCCCCAGCCATCTGCACTGGGGCCCCAGGGCTTCCCTTTGCCAAGCAGCCCCTGCAAACCCTGGCCAGAGAGAAAATTGGGTGACCCGAGTCCTGGGTGCTTTTAGTAAAGAGGTCTAAACATTTCTTGAGTAATGGAGGGGGGTGACTTTTTTATTCTTGACATTTGCAATTCTCCATTTGGGGGCAGGGGTGCCATGGGGGTCCCTGGGTGTCCCTTGAGACCTGGAGCGGTTCCCTGGGGCTCTGGGGGGGTCGGATCCGCAGTGGGGAGGTCCCCAACCCCCCTGTCCATCCCCGGGGACTGATGGGGGGGTTCCCCCCAGCCAAGAGCCGGTGCTGGGGCGTCCGTGGGGCAGAGGGGAGTGGGAAAGGGGGGTCCGGGGTGGCCCCCTGAGCTCCTACCCTGCTGTGGGGGACTGGGGGATGATGGGGGGGGACCCCCTGACCCGTGTCCTGCACACACAGGGGTGTTACAGGAGATGACAAAGCACGAGTGTCACTTCATCAATGGCACCGAGCGGGTGAGTTACGTGCACAGGCAAATCTACAACCGGGAGCAGCTCCTGCACTTCGACAGCGATGTGGGGGTCTTTGTGGGAGACATCCCATTTGGGGAGATCCAGGCCAGGATCTGGAACAGCAAACAGGACTTTCTGGAAATCTGTCGGGCAGCAGTGGACACGGTCTGCTGGCCCAGCTACGAGAGGTCCACCCAGTTCCTGGAGAACCGCAGAGGTGAGCGTGGGGCAGAGCGGGTCCCCTCGGACCCTGCCCCGGGAATGACCCTGGAGCCCCTCAAACCCTCCCTGGGAATCACCCCAGACCCCTCAGCCCTCCCTGTGCCTGTCCCGTGGTCTTTTGTCCTCTCCCAGTTCTTCCCAGTCCATCGCAGTCTCTCCCAGTGCCCCCTTGCGTATCCACCCCGCTGATGCCTCCAAGCCCCCTTCCTGGGAGGGCTGAGAGGGGCTTTGGGGAGTCCTGGGGGCAACTGGGAGGGAGTTTGAGGGAGCCTGGACGGGAGGGGAGGGAGACTGGGGGGGCTTGGGGTGAGCGGGAGGGGGTTGGAAAGTCATGGGGGGGGCTGGGAAGGGACTGAGAGGGGTTCAGGGGTGCTGGGTGGGTTGGAAGAGACTAGGATGGGGTTTGTGGGGTCCTGGGTGGTCCATGGGCAGTTTTGGGGATGCTGACCCCCCCGGCTCCCCCCAGAGATGCCACCGGACACCGTCCGCAGCAAGATCCTGGTGGGGGTCGGGGGCTTCGTCTTGGGCTTGGTCTTCCTGGCGCTGGGGCTCGGCTTCTACCTGCGGGAGAAGGTAAAGGGGGGTCCCCGGGGGTCGTGTCCCCCCCCTTGCTCTCCCACAGCCTCTGGGCCCCCCCTGCCCCCCCAGCCCTTTTGCTCTCACCCCCTTTTCTCTCCCCACAGAGCTTCTGAGCCACCGGCGGCCGCAGCCCCTCCCCGTGGCCTCGGGCCCAGCCGGGACCCCCCAAACCCTGCGCTGATTTTGGGGCGTCACCTGTCCCCCCCTTCCCTGCTTTTGTTCTCACCCCAACCAGCTGCTCCCAGTGTTCCCAGTAAAGCTTCTTAGTGCTCTGCAGTCCTGGTTGTAGAGGAGAAGTGGGGGCTCTGAAAATCCTGGGAACGGGGTGGTTTGGGCACTCCCAGTTCCTGAAATTTTGGAAAAGTGGGGTTTGGGCACCATCAGTGTCTGAAAAACCCATGAACAAGGGGGTTGGGAATATTCAGCCTCCAAAAATCTTGGGAACATGGGGGTATTGGCTCTCCTAGACCATAAAAATCTCAGAAACTGGGAGGCTGGAGCACTCCGAGACCTAAAAAATATCTGAAAAGAGGGGTGTGCTGGTTTAAAGGTAAACCAGGAGGGGACATGAACTCAACTGAAAAGATTGTAAGTCAGAATAACAATTTAATAAAATAATACAATAAGTACAATTATACAGACAAACAATTGGTTTTAACCCACAAAACCCAAATGCATAACCCAGCACCCTGGGGCAGGAACAGAGTGGGGTTCGTTTGGCCCCCTGAGTCCAAAGGAAAAGGAGAGGGGAAAACCTGTCAGTCGAGAGTGGTGGTCTCAGTCTGGTTGAGAGCAGTGGTCTCAGTCTTCCTCTGGATCCCATGAGTGGTTAAAAAAGTTCCAAGACTCCAAGTTTATATATTCTCCAGTTGAGGCAGGAATGCTCAGTCCTGCCCTCAGGGCAGGGAGTTCCACACTGGGTGTGAGGACAGGAGCACCCTCCTCTCTCACAGGCCTCTGAACACCCAGTTTACAGCCTGAGGGGTCAGGGCTGCTCTGGGCAGAGGGTGTAAATGCTCTATTGTTAACAGTTTCTGGGCAATGGCATGGAAGGCTCTAGAATACACAGGTTTGGGTTACACTCATCCAGTGATGAACTGGTCCCAGCTGTCCTAACAAGGACAAGGGGCTTGGACACTCCCAGAGCACAGAAATCCTGTGAGCAGGGGGGGTTGGGAACTCCTAGACATTAAAAACCCCAAGAACATGGCTTTGGGCACTGTCAGTCCCCCAAAAACCCGTGAACAGGGAGGATTTGGCACACACAGACCTCCAAACGTTGTGGGAAAAGAGAGATTTAAGCACACCCAGATCCCCAAATTTCTGGGAGGGGGGGGCATTGGGCAATGTCAGCCTCCCAAAAACCGAGGAACAGGGGGGTTGGGCACCGCCAGACCACAAGAATCCTGAGAACAGCAGGTACTGAGCACTCCCAGAGCCCCAAAATCTTGGTCAAAGGGGTATTTGGGCACTACCAGACCACACCCCCAAATGCAGAGAAGCTCCAGGCCCCCAAGAGTCCTGGAAAAGAAGGTTTTGGGTACAACCAAAACTGCCGGGAAAAGGGGGATTGGGTGATGCCAAGATTTTGCCCCAAAAGGCACGAACAAAAGAAACTGCTTAGAGACAAAAATTGTAGCCTTTAAGCAGGAGGTACTTTATTACGCGGGCCTCCGGAGTGCCCGGGGAACAGTCAGGTCATCCTGGAAAAACTGCTCCGCCTTATCAATAAAGGAACAGGTTTATATATGATTTTTACAAGTGATTACAACATATCTGCATGTATATTCATAGAATTGCAACATACATTATCAATATTCATAACAGGTGGAGTTTAGGCGGAGTTAGAGGTGTGGTCTTCAATTTGGGGAGAATCTGGGATGGGAGATCCGGCCTTCATCCATCGGAATACCCCTGCCCACTCTGCATACTCATCTTGAACTTTGTGAACTTTCTTACTTTGGCTGACTTCTTAGTGTATCTGGCAGAGGTTTCTGATGATTTTGCAGGGATACCCAGATCTTGGCTCATCTTCCTTCTTTATCAGGGAGTTCTTCTAAGTACATGAGTTTCTGTTCTGCTGTACCAGTATGTTCTGCATACTTTAATGAATCATCATTCCTGATTATTTCTAAAACTAAGTTTTTCTGCTCTTGCTTATACTTATATTCTGAATTTAACTCTCTACTGTTCATATAGTTATATTTGCTTTCTGGGCCTTGTCTGGCTTCATGGGCACCCTCAACCCCACATCTCCCTCTTGTTTTGGGCAACTCTGAGCTCCGGGACAACTTGATCCTCTGTTTGAGGTTCCCCTGAGCTTTGGGAGCCCTGGCTGGGCGTTTTTGGGTTGCCCTGAGCTTTGGGAGCCCTGGATGGGCATTTCTGGTGGGCCCTGAGCTCCCCCCTCCCCCGCAGCCCACGGACCCCCCC